GGTGAGCTATCTAGCGAAGCCGAGGATTCCCTTCTGAATCAGGGTTAAACCGTCCCCTTCTCATTTAAGTGACTCACCCCTAGCGTACCACGGATTATTCATGAGACCTCTCAGGGTGTCACAAATTAATATGCAGCACAGTAAGATTGTCACGGCCGAAATCGTTAGGGACATGACTGTGCTGCAGACATTGATTTATTTAATATAGGAACCCTATACCTATAGGGGCCAAGCAATCGGTTTAAAAAATAAAAAATTTGAACTGTTTCAGGATCTAAGGCACGACAGGCCGAGAGCATGCATTGTGGTACATAAGGAATTAAGACCAATTCCTATATCTAGGTTTTGGTCTAGTGATATCATAACAATATCAATTGATTTCAGGAGAAGGGGGACCCCACAAAACTTTTTATTTGGCAAGTGCATACTTACCGCACGATGAGGACGGCCCAGCTAAGGCAGTAAAGGAATTTATCTCATATTGTGACGATAATAATATAGGTCTTATTCTGGGCTGTGATATCAACGTACACAACCTAGCATGGGGTAGCACAGATAACAATGCGAGAAGTATTACATTCTTGGAAGTTATATTAAGCAAAAATTTATCCATCCTGAATGTGGGCAACTGTCCCAATTTTATAACAAAAAATAGGAGGGAAGTATTGGATGTATCACTAGCCTCTCTGCCAATTGCTAATTGGGTAACGGAGTGGAAGGTGACACCAGGTAAGATCTTCTCAGATCAATGTATCATTGATTTTAAAATCTCAGAAGTTAACAAAATAAGGTTTAAGAATCCAAAACTAACGAACTGGGAAACCTATATTAATATTATTAATAATATTACAGTTTGCATACCTACTCCTACTAACGTAACAGAGCTGGAGCAGGTTGCTAATAACATTATACAGGTCATAAACTCTGCGGGTGTAGAAGCGTGTCCTGAAAAAATACTACGTCAGAATCGACATCACTGGTCGAATAAAGATCTGGCTAGTTTAAGGAAAAGGGTCAGAGCAATACACAAAAAAGCCCTGCAGTGGAACTCTGAACTGTACTGGAGGGATTATTTCTCCATGAAGAAAGATTATAAAAAAGAGTTAAGGAAAACTAAGCGTAAAGCCTGGAGGGACTAATGTTTGGAAACAGAACTGTTAAGGAAAGTGCTTGTATTTTTAAACTTCTGGAAAAAGATTATATTAATCCTTTAGGTTTATTACAGGATGATAATGGGGTGTACACCATCCTGTGAGGAGATCCTGAACTTGATGTCTAGGCATTTCCCCAGGTCAGACTCTTCCACTATTCTAGCCGAGGATGAATTACCAACACCAAACCGGGATAAGGCTAATGAGGTAATTTCTTGGGAGGCCAACAAATGGGCGGTACATTCCTTCAAGAAATTCAAGGCAGCCGGGGTGGATGGAATATTCCCTGCCCTCCTTCAACAGGATACCCCTTGTCTATCTAGTACAGTGGTTGTAGTAGTTGATAGTAATTAACTTCTTTTGTTAATTGTTAATCGTGAGCCTATTTTCCGAAATTGACGAGATCTTTCGAACATAGTTTAGGAATTTTATGAAAAGAATTTAAGCTTAAATTCAGCTAAATTTGGTCCAATTGCACAAGAATGGTACACACTCTCTTCCCTGTCCCTCAGGTTACAAATTTAACTTAATTTACTTTTACCTAAGGATCTATACTTAAATAAATCCGGTGGATTGACTATCTACACACTAGAAACTTTTCGAAGAAAGTTAGCCCCACATTTCAGGAATATGCCATAATATGGTTCATCTAATAATATGGTATAGGGGTAAAAGGGCCGAACTCTATTACTATACCTAGCGAAGCCCCTTGGACTTAGCCCAACACTTTATTTTTCAATCTGAGGTCCATGCATTCCAACTCTGTAAACAGGAGTTTAAAAATAAGAAAATGAAAGGTGCACGGATTAACATACTCACTCAGGAAAGCACACGGGCAATGCGTATGCTTTTAACACTAGCTTTGTCTGGGAGTGCCTAAATGAGGCCAATGCCTCTAAGAAAACGCAAGATTACCTTAAAGTGGGTTCGGGGACATGAAAATATAGAAGGAAATGAACAGGCTGACCGACGAGCCAAAAAGGGGCAGCCCTCTCACCAATGGGACAGAACCACTACCGACATGTGTGCTTAAGTTCAAACTGGAAAAATGAGTTGAGAAAGAAATACTCAACCAATGGACAAAAACACCAGATATGAGGCAAGCTAAGAAATTGATAAAACTTTCAAAAAGGAAGGCGAAGGAATTCCTCTCTCTTTCTCTCTCTTTCTCTCTCTCTCTCTCTCTCTCTCTCTCTCTCTCTCTCTCTCTCAGCAGGCAGGATTTGAGGAAAAATATAGGCCTCTATACCGGTCAGTGCCTTCATAACTACGAAGATGGGTAAAGCAAAGAAAAACATGTCGACTCTGTCAGAAGGAACCAGAGAAATCGGCATATATCCTTTGTGAATGTAAAGCATTAGCCCAACTATCTACAGCCACTTCGGTAAGGCAATCACACGAAAAGAGGTGCGTGAGGAGTCACCGAGGAAAATGAAATGCGACACATGCCTGAGGGTTGTCCATTGGAGTTTGGTGTGAAGTGTTTTATGTACGTTTTACCTACACTTATTTTAATTTTATTCCAGTCAGTCTGACTTGTTGAACATTTCAGTTTAAAAGTACGACTGGCCCTGATTATATTTGTATTTTCCTTATCAGTATAATCAAAATGTGTACGGTTGAACGCTTTCACCCTTGCTGAAAAATAATAGTAAAGGTGGAACTTTAATTTTCTTTCGATCCCGGATATTACATAGAAAATAATAGGAGAAATCTTTCTTGAGATGTCTTCTACACGGCTCGCCCCCCTCGCGACGTCAGCAGTGTTTATGATGAGTTGCAATTTAATAAACAAAGACTTGTCATTGCTTCTTTTTTTCTATTTAAAACTGCAAATAGAATATTTTATTTTCTTCGAGTTGTTTAGGATTTAATATTGAAAAATTCATAACAAATTCTGTAATAATGATATTTGGACCGTGAAATCCAAGGCGCAGTTCGAATTCCCTTGAAATTGAAAGTCAAGATGACACTTTTGCCATATTATATAATGCAATTTTACTCGTAGTAACCGTATTTGATTAATTATATTGTACATTTAATAACAGGATTTTCTTATCTGATTTGTAATACGCATTTCTTTAACATAAATAAATGCATTTTAAATTGTAAAAATTAGTATTGAATGCACGAAGTTACATTTAAACATTCATTCAAACGTTTAACAATTCTCTAATCGTAAATTTGTAAACGAACATCGTTAGCAAATTGAAATATAATTATAGTCGTCGGAAAGGTCATGTACGGAAGATCTGTATCATATGTATAATTGCATATGGAAACTTGAACACGTTGACAACAAAAACTCTATTTTTTTTTTTTTCTGACCTTGCTTTATGCATTGGCCAAAGAAATAATTATATGAAGCCCGATGAGGCGGAAACGACCAAAGGGGCCAGGCGGATTTCGCCTAAGCAGCCCAAGCCAACGCAGCGGGGACTGGAGGGCTTTATAAAAATCAAGCGTCCCAACAATGACCCCCCACTCGAACTCTATTTTTATCTTCTAAGAATTAGGATTGAAAATCCTTACATTAACAGGGGGTTAAAAATATACCAAATTCTTATCAATAGGAAAAGAATGTAGAAACTAACAAATTTATTCAAAAAATTAGAAATTAAAACCGCTCTGAAGACCACGAACAAAATCGGGAAACTGTTAACAAGAAGAGGATAGTGTTGTGAGGTCACGGATTTCAATGAGTCTTTTTTTGCTGATACTTGATCGAAATATTTGACAAGTGTCCGAGAGTTCCGTCCAATCGGCCCCAGGAACCAGAAAAAAATTAGGTGTAAAAATGATCAAATATTGCTTTTACCAAGTTGCCACTGCTCACAGCTCTCAAAAATTGAATAAAATTTTCAGAGATTTTAATACATCGAAAAATATGAGTTTTTTTTGTTTCGTACTGTGGGATCTTTTGTTGAAAAGGTTGTTCGTTGCTGCTAAAGCGGCTGAGCATTTCTTCCCAAAATGGAAGCCAGATGGTCCAACCTGGGAAGACCTTCTTACTACCTCTCATATAACGTCTACGTCTAGAAAATAAACTAGATATGATAAGACTTCAATAAGAGGGTCGTAAAAATGCTTCTTAATATAGTTGATCAATTAAATGGTTTATGACCCAACACAGAGCCCTGGCGACGTCTGACAGATAACTACTTATAAGGTATGTGATATATCTAGCCAAAACCCAGTAAGCCAAATTTTTATATGAAAAAAGTTGGAAATACATAGAAAATTCAAAATTAAATATATTTAGAATAGGTTTATAAAAAGCTATATAATGCCTCTGTGCCGTGAACAGTTAAAAGCGTTTTCAGTGTCAACTAGTACCATTTCAGTGTGTTGTTTTAATTTAAAACTGTTGGTCTCCTATCAAGTATTCTGTATGTAAAGCCTCTCATAATTTCAATAATTGAACAGTATAAATAAATGAAATGCATGGGTTATGTTCGTAAATTTGTAAAACAGAATTATACTGATTCAGTCGATAGTATTGCTATGAAAATATGTATCTTCATTAACGTTGTCGTAAAATAATTTTGGGAATACAATATACTATTGCTGTCGATAAATGCTTAACTAACTGGCCGTATATGGCCGTGTTATTTCCGCAACCGACTCTAACGCTGTGAGACATATTCCATGCTAATAGAGAGTGAGACATATTCATGTTCCGACAAATGGTAATTGAACAATTAAGACCCGCTGATGCTGCCATAATAAGATTTTACGCGAACGAAATGGAACCCGTGATTACGGAATTTTTAATCAATTCTAAGTTGTCAATTCACTTATTTAATTGAAATTTCCTTTAAAAAAATAGACCATGCTGCTTTTACTCACCAAGGGATCCACTTTCAGCCTCCTTGTGTGCGGCATGCTTCTTTTTGTTCGGGCACCTGCTAAGCCCCGGTGGACGAAATGGAATTCGTTATCAGAGCCGAGTACCTGTAAGAACAAAAACTTGTAACATAAAATGCAAAAGTCTGTGCGGCTGGTTTCCCAGCGAACCGAATACATCTTGATCCACATTACATAAAAAAGTGTGCTCTATATTTGTACAACGTTTGAGGTATAACACGATAGCCTTTCGGCAAATAAAACCTTCTGTGAAATACGTGGTATTAGGTGATACCTAGTCATACGTGGCAGTGAACAGTACTACGTTCGAAATCACGAGATTTTGCTTGTCCTAACAATCTCTTCTCCTATGACTTCACTCAAGACAACGTGCTGACGATATGACGATTCCTAAACGACGCTGTATTACCTGGAGGTATAGCGGAAGTCAAACAAAAGGTAGAGACTTTTGCCCGGAAAGTAGACGACTGGTCGGCATAATGGCGTGCCATGCTGAAACCATGATATCAACTTGGGGGGTTGGGCTTCTTAGTTTTTCGTCCGTATCTGTTTAGTTTCCACCACTGTTTTTCTTTGTGGTAAAAAAAAATCAAACGTAACTCTCATGTTTTCTTCGATGACTTCCAGCAATGGCCGAAGCGAATGTTGAATTTGACAAGAAATCAGATCAACCGGACGAATAGACTATTGAAAGAGAGAAATTATTACTTAAATCAGCTTCATACCAGAAGGATGGTGGGAAGGCACTCACTCTTACCAGACTTAACAAAATGGTTTCCTGATAGTTTTGTCAAGTTAGTCAGTGATTCCGATGGTTTAGCTTCAACTCACCAATCGAAAAGCTGTAAATTTCGAGTACTATTTAATTTAAGGCCTGCGAACGAGGATGAATTAGAATTCTAGATTAGAGACATGATATATATCATTAACGAAGTTGAAGAAGGGTGGTGGTGGAAAGTAAAAAAACAAATATAAAAAACCCCGCAAGAACATACAATGTCCACCTTAATTAAAAACAATAGAATACAAATTCACATTTCACACAACACCAATATGACGCCACAAGAATAGCAACACACTTTATGTCAGTGTGAAATATTTGGTTCAAAGTTTATATTTATTCCAATTAATTATTCTTTTTATCTAAGGTTTTTGGTTGAGACGAAAAATAAGTGTCACGACATCTCAAGCGGTTAGAGCAGCGGCATATTGAGCCGAAGGTCGTGGGTTCGAATCCCACTCGTGACAGTAATTTTTCATCTTAACCAAAAACCTTAGATAAAAAGTATAATTAATTGGAATAATGAATATGGTCAATTATGACCACTAAACAAATATGGATTAATTTATATTTACATCTTACATTTACATTATTGTATTTTTATATCAGTTTTGTAATTCACCTAGGCCTTGAAGAGGACCCGAAGGTCGAAACGTCGGTTAAAAACGAAAAAGGTGTTTTTCTAAACTACTTCATTCTTGACTTATCTTCACGAATTCAACTAATTAATGAAATTAATGTTTGGGAATGCCGCGAAACCGGCAGGATTGTTCCAAGTAAGTGACAATATCATGGAATCCGAAGAAATTAATGCCGAGGAATTGAGAAAAATAGCCGCCACTAACATATTTAAAGGATCTAACTATAGCACTGCTAGATTTAATAAAGGCAAAGTCAAGAAACTTTCGGTTGGTAATTATTCATTCGTAAAAAATGAAGTACATAATCAAACGAAATTAGATCCGAAATATAAACGTCCATTTGAAGTTGTTGAAGTTATAAGGGCATTACCGAACAAGAGGCTCTTCCCTAAATACTCGCCAGGAGCCTCACCACTAAGCCACTACGAGTTCATTCACATACAGCTGAACTGGACATGGAACAATTTTTAACTGACCCGTAATTCGGATGGTTATGCAACCTCCCCCGTCTATGCACATAGGATCTGGTACCTTAACCCCCGTGTGTCTCTGATTCAGCACCCGCCGTCCGCGGTCAGCTCGCAAGCCAACATCTCCCTTAACCCATTTTGAGGGACCTAACCCTACCTGGACTTGATACTGGGTTCCCGCATACTCGGTCATCCTAAAAAGGACACTGAGGACTTTAACGTCCGCACCTAGTCGGCCTTATCGGACGTTTTGATTCTCAAAATGAGAGCTGACGCACTTCCGCATACGACAGGGTTGTGTTACTGCCGCAGCATTAGTTTTGAGGCAGCTCAGCCCCGAAGGGCCAATACAACCTCGCTCCCCGCTTGTCCATTCCAAGAAGCCGGGCCTGCTTTAAGCATCAGACCGTATGCCGCGCGCAAAGGGCTACCTAAGCCGAAGTACATCAGCCTGGTCTCCCGCGTACTCCCTAGATAGAGAAGGCGACTCTATCTCCCAGAGTATTGGGGCTTCCCCAGTGTAGAAACTACCGGATCCGCTCCGGCCGCGGTTTCGTTTAAAGTGGAATTTCTAACCACCCCCTAGAGGAGCACTTACGGTAACACCTCCCATCGAGCTCAGCCTACACCTGCCATGCGCAATCGAGGGACGCCATAGGCTTACGCCTTGGTGGTCCGATCCTTCGCTGTCCCACAAGGTAACAACGACGGACATACGCACTGCTGTGCAAAGCATACTCGAGTAGGAGCAACCGATTCACTACCCGTTCCCAACCGCTACTACCCACGCATTCGAGGGACTATCCAGCATAATAATCGCGTCCTCAACGCCTGTACGCTGCCGTCCGATCCGCCGTATTCCGTGAGGCCGGGTGTATAACGGTGGTCATACGCAAGTTTCGCGCGAAGGTCACAGGCAGAAGACAGCCTTTTCTGTAAGTTCCCGCTAGAGGCGTCACCACAAGCCACCACGAATCCATTCCCAGCGTAACATGGGCTGAATTTGGAACGTTCTGTTACCCCATGGTACAGATGGTCATGCACCCTCCCCCGTATATGCAGACAGGATCTGGTACACTGACCCTCGTGTGCCTCTGATAAGGCACCCGCTGCCCATGCCGACCCGAGGCCGACACGAGTACAGCCTGTGCTTTAGAGAGGTTGCCAAACCCTCTAGACTACACCATTATTTTGCGCCTGGATACCCCCCTTGTATCTAAGGGTTGGGAGGGGGGTCACAGAATAGAATGAATTCGGGATTGAGAAAAGGCCGTGGATGAGGACTCGAGGTGAGCCGTTACGGGGTCTCGAGCCTTAACCACACTATACCACTCGTCGTCGCCGTAGTGCCACATTGAGTGGGCTACAGCTCCCAGGGTGGGTGACCTGGACTTGACACAGTGATCTCATCAAATCCCTATGCATCCAAACTCAATAAATAAAACCGCACTCATTATGCCAGATGGTCACTATGAATATCTTCGCGTCTCAGTGTTTAATATATGCTTGGCGAATTGCGAAACAAAGATGTGCTAACAAACATGGATGATATATTATTAATTCCATCAAATGATATGGATTCTAAACTGGCGTTGTTAGATAAAGTGCTATAGAGCTCGGATAGAGTAGGATGGGTTAAAATTAAAGCTAGAAAAATGTTCTTTTCTACAGGAACATCTCAACCTTGGGTTTGAGATTAGTTCATAATGCGTGCGAACTGGAAAAAGGAAAATTGAGGCTGTTTATAAATTTCCAATTGCTACAAGTATGCATAATGTCCGTCAGTTCATAGGATTAGCTCGGTATTTGAGCAAATTCATAATAGCTGTTTAATATTGGCGAAACCCATAACAGACCTAACAAGGAAGGATGCGCTAGTCAGTGGGGAGTGGGGAGAAGATCAGCCACAGGCGTTTAAAAAATTAAAAGAGTTACTGTCAGGTAGACCATTCTTAGCGATTTATGATAGTCAACTTGATACAGAACTGCATACCGATGCAAGCAAATTTGGAATAGGAGGTGCATTAATACAAAGGCAATTATCAGGCGAAATAAAACCAGAGAAAACCAATCCCTATACCATCCATGTGGATCATTTAGTACCATTCACAAGAAGTACGTCAGGATATAGTTATCTTCTTATGGTGGTCGATGATATATGCGATAATTTTTGGCGAGTTTGGATTTTCTCGAATGTAATTAACGATCGTGGTTTGGCGTTTACCAGTAGGATGTTTAAAGAGGTTTTGGCAGAGACGGGAATCAACAGTTACCGAATGCTTTTGCTATGTCTAGGGGTCGAGTGGAAATACAAAATCGGACTTTAATTGAGATGTTGGCGGCCAGTGCAGCAGATGAGAGTAAATAGGGTAGGTATTTGCCATTGTGTGGGGTATATATGGTATAGAGAATGCGAGCACACGATTTTCTCCGGCTCTGTTGATGTTCATACACAAGTCAAGCGTCATGGCGGACTTGACTGGGTGTGGGGGCAAAAATACTGAAGATCAAGTGGAGAAAATAACTGATGGTCCGGGCGAAGTATTTTGTCATATCGGAATTAAAAAGAGTACTTAAGGCGAAGTATGGTTGGTGAAAGGAGTACTGCGGCGGTCAAAATAAATAATTTTAGTACGTTGCAGCTGAGATATCGGGCGACGGCTCAAGTATTTCTGCGCACAAGCCTAGTTCTGGTGTTGAGGTATCTGGATTAAAGAGAGAATATCCTGACAATCGCGTACCCATAGCCAGTGAGTTGCAACATTGCGGGCCCACTGGATTGGCGGACAATTTAATGATGCCACGCGAGGAGAGCTTTTGGTAACATAAATAAGTGTGCACTGCAAATTATGGAGAGATATAACCAGAGGCGTAAGGTTGCAAACAAATACAAGATAGGCGAGTTAGTATTATGGCGAAAATCGGCTACTGGTAATTCAGATGAAGGTGTAAAAAGGAAGTTTAGAAAATAAGTTTGATGAGCCGTACAGGATAGCTAAGGTATTAGGTTCGATGGGGCACTCAATAATCCAGCATCAACCCTCTCACACTACAAATCCACGATAATAAATACATTCATTCTCAAGACAAGCTACTAACACATTCAATGAGACTACACTTTTCCTTCAAGGATCAGAACAGGGGAGCTAAATGCTCGCTACCGTGCCCAAGCACAAATTTCATATCAGTTGGCAT